ATTCATAAATGAATGGCATGACAGTTTACCAGTCCTTAGATGTTGGGGCTGCATTAGTTTTGACTTTTCAAGCTAAGAATATTTTCAGCAAGTACAGAGAATACCTGTTGATCCTGCCAGAAAATCCATGTCTATGGCACATCCTGTGAGCTTGGAAGATTCGGTTTTTTTTTGGACCAATGCGACTACTGCAACTCCCTCCTCACTGGCCTGCCTCGCCGCTGGCTATCCCCGCTTCAGTCCATCCTGAATACGGCTGCCAGACTCATTCACCTTTCCAACCGCTCCATCTCCGCCACCCCCCTCTGCCAACCCTCCACTGGCTTCCGATTGCGCAACGGATCAAATTTAACATCCTAACACTGACGTACAAAGCTGTCCACCATACTGCCCCGAACTACATCACCAACCTAATATCCAAGTACCACCCAACACGCACTCTCCGCTCCTCACAAGACCTCCTTCTCTCTAGTTCCCTGGTCTCCTCCTCCCATGTCCGCCTCCAGGACTTCTCCAGGGTGTCACCCATCCTCTGGAACTCCCTTCCCCAACCCATCAGATTATCACCTACTCTCCTCTCCTTTAGGCGCACCCTGAAAACCCATCTCTTCAGGGAAGCCTACCTCACCCCCTGCTAACTTGCCGACCTCCTCCACTCTTCCTACCACTCCACCCCCCACAGCTATCTCCTCCTGTACCACTATCCCCTCCCTCCTAGATTGTAAGCTCCAAGGAGCAGGGCCCTCAATCCCCTCATGTTTTGCATTGTATTGGTATTGTTCTGTCACATGTTCTGTCCCCCTTTGTAATGTACACAGCGCTGAGCGAACTATTGGCGCTTTATAAATACTGTATAATAATATAATAAGTATGTAGGTGCCATACCTGTTGGATCCTCATGGAAGCTGGAAATCGCTGCAGTAGTCACCGTTTTTAGTGATTGGTACTAGCTTCTGGGTCCCATCCCGAGTGGCTGCCCTGCTTTACAATGAACACAGGAGGTCGCCGGCTTGGCACAGGCACCATTCACTGAGAGAATGCAAAAGGGTCTCTGAATGGTGTCTGTGCCAATTTGGGGAGCTGACATCATAACCTTCACCTCATCCAATCAGGACACCTTGCATTCATTGAGAAAAACACACAAGGGGTTCTATGAATGGAGTTGGTGCTGAGCGAGTGACCTCCTGTGTTCACTATGCTGCAAGGAAGCCACATGGCAGGGCACCCAGAAGTGGAGATCACTGGAGCAGTGAGGAGTATTACAGAGATTCTCCAATTCTACACTTTAACCACTTCAATACCGGGCACCTTCACCCCCTTCCTGCCCAGGCCAGTTTTCAGCGCTTTCGCACTTTGAATGACAATTGCGCGGTCATGCAACACTGTACCCATATAAAATGTTCATCATTTGTTTACACAAATAGAGCTTTCTTTTGGTGGTATTTAATCACCGCTGGGGGTTTTATATTTTGCTAAACAAATGAAGAGACAAAAACATTTTGGAAAAAAAAAATAGCAAAAAAAAACCTTTTTTTTTGTTTCTATTATAAAAATTTTGCAAACAGGGAATTTTTCTCCTTCACTGATGTGCACTGATGAGGCTGCACTAATGAGGCTGCACGGATGGACATTGATAGGCAGCAACGATGAGGTGGCACTGATAGGCATTGATAGGCAGCAACGATGAGGGGCACTGGTGGGCATTAATAGGCAGCACTGATGAGGGGGCACTGGTGGGCATTGATAGGCAGCACTGATGAGGGGGCACTGGTGGGCATTGATAGGCGGCACTGATGAGGTCACACTGGTGGGCATTGATAGACTGCACTGATGAGGGGGCACTGGTGGGCATTGATAGGCGGCACTGATGAGGTCACACTGGTGGGCATTGATAGACTGCACTGATGAGGAGGCACTGGAGGATATTGATAGGTGGCACTGGTGGGCGTTGATAGGCGGCACTGATGAGGGGGCACTGGTGGGCACTGATAGGCAGCACTGATGAGGGGGCACTGGTGGGCACTGATAGGCAGCACTGATGAGGGGGCACTGGTGGGCATTGATAGGCAGCACTGATTAGGGGGCACTGGTGGGCATTGATAGGCAGCACTGATTAGGGGGCACTGGTGGGCATTGATAGGCAGCACTGACGAGGGGGCACTGGTGGGCATTGATAGGCAGCACTGACGAGGTGGCACTGGTGGGCATTGATAGGCAGCACTGACAAGGTGGCACTGGTGGGCATTGATAGGCAGCACTGACGAGAGGGCACTGGTGGGCATTGATAGGCAGCATTGACGAGGTGGCACTGGTGGGCATTGATAGGCAGCACTGATGAGGTGGCACTGGTGGGCATTGATAGGCAGCACTGATGAGGGGGCACTGGTGGGCATTTATAGGCAGCACTGATGAGGTGGCACTGGTGGGAAATGATATGAAGCACTGATGAGGTGGCACTGGTGGGAGTTGATAGGCAGCACTGATGGGGGGCACTGGTGGGCATTGATAGCACTGAATGGAAATGATATGTGGCACTGATTGGCAGCACTGATGGACACTGATTAGCATTGATCAGCAGCACTGATGGACTGCACTTATAATCAGGGCACTATCAGTGTAGATGTTCACTTTCACGCTTTCCGGTTATTAGCTGTGACAGCGCTGAGGAAAGTACTGCCAATAACCGGCAAATGTGTTTACATTGTGTTCAGCTGTGATTGGACACAGCTGGTCATGTGGTAAAGGACTGCTGTGATTGGCTCTCTACCATGATTTATGATCATCTGTGTCCGAAGCACACAGCAATCACAGAGAGTCAATAGACGCCCTCCCAGCACGAGACGACCTGTAGTGTCATTCAGCTACAGCGCGGTAGGCAAGTGGTTAAAAGTTCAATCACGGTCACCAACGGTTCTCATATACGCTTCAATGAACAATCAATTTCTTTTCCGATCGATCTTTTCTGATAGGAATAATCAATCTATAGTAAACAACCCATTCAATCAATATGAGGCACACAGGGAAGTGTATTACAAATGCTAGGTAGGATACGATCGTATCCCACTTTCCTTTTTTTTTTTTTCCTCCTTTCTTGTTCTCTGAGATCACTACTTCTGATACATGGTTTCTATGTTTTGTTACAATGTATCAGTAGGAGTATCCTCAGGATTCAGGAGTGCTGATTAGGACAGGTGTTCTTTATTAACCACCTCTTGTCCGGCCGTTGTATATAAATAGCCGGATGGTGGCAGTGCAGGTTCTGGTGGCTGTTTATAAATGGCCTTCCCGCACCCTGCTTGTGCACGCTCCCTGGCAGCGCAACACCGCGATCCGGTGCCCACTGACAGTGGAACACCGATCGTCGGACGGGACCTCTGTACGAGGTCCCGATCATGTGATCACTGATTGGCCAATCAGTGATCACATGCAGAGTAGTAAGCAAGATGTCACTTCTGACATCATTGCTTACTACGTGTGAAATCTGTGAATGATCACAGAGGTCACATGGTACAGGGCTATTCACAACAGACTTGTACCATGTGAGAAGCTGTGACCAATCACAGCTCACACAGTATTTCTCAATGGCTGCAAGAATGCAGCTAGAGAGAAGGAGAAATGATTGCTTTTACAGCCTTTATGGGTGTAAAAGCAATCAGTGTAAAAAAAAGAAAAAAAAATGTCATCACCCCCCACAAGTAGTACAGTGTCACTATGGTGGCACTGTACTACTAGGGTGACAGTATGTAAAAAATAAATAAATAAATAAAAAATGTAAAAAAAATGTTTACAAATTATAGTTTTTGGTTATAAACTAATTTGGTTTATTTATTTATTTTTTTTTTTTACTAAAAAGATAACGGAATAAATTTCGGCCAAGATATATGATGAAATTTTATTTTTTTTGCTATGTAAATGAAAAAGTCCAAACATTTTGAAAAAAGGGGTTTTTCTTATAAAATTTTGCAAATAAATAATAATACCACCAAAATAAAGCTTTATCTGTCTCAAAAAATGCAAAAAAATTCATATGGGTAGTGTCGCATGACCGCGCAATTGTCATTCAAAGTGTGATAGCACTGAAAGCTGAAAATTGGCCTGGACAGGAAGGGGGGGAAAGTGTCTGGGCTGGAAGTGGTTAACTATCACCTATATAAGACGGCACTTTTGTTGTTTTCTTTGCTATGATTTAGCAGAAGATGGTGTGAAGCGCGTTAAGAGGTCCTGTATTCCTGTCCTGGTGTTTTGTGTGTCCTATGGATTAATAAATACTCACTATATTCATCTATCCTCCGGTGTGCGGCTCACCCTTCTTTCTGTTACTCTTTATAGAGACACTGGGGGGTTTATTTACTAAAGCTGGAGAGTCCAAAATCAGACTCCCTTCTGCACAGAAACCAATCAGCTTCTAACCTCAGCTTGTTCAATGAAGCTTTGGCAATGAAACCTGGAAGCTGATTGGTTTCTATGCAGAAGGGAGTCCGATTTTGGACTCTCCAGCTTTAGTAAATAAACCCCTGGGAGTCTATTAGACCCCCCCAATGTCTTTCCTGCCCTCTAATGTGGCTATTCAACCACAGATTGTGCTAGATTAGCTGCATCCTTGGCTACGCTAGCTAAGAAACAGCAGTTGTGACCCCAGAAGTGATGTAGCTTCCGGGAGTCATTAGTGGCAGGAGCAGCGGCGTATTTACTGCCAGGCAAACAAGGCGGTTGCCTTGGGCGCCAATTTTAGGGGAATTTTCCCCGGGAGAGGTGGCAGGGACCTGGTGAGGAGGCTGCGCGCTGCTAGAGGGTGCTGGGATGGCCGGCGGCTTCTTGTGCAGGTTCGTTCTTTAACTACTTGCCGACCGCAGATAGCCGAATGACGGGTACACTGCGACCGGCCAGTTCCGGGAGGGCGTCATATGACGTCCTCCCAGAATGCGCTCTCCTGCGCGCCCCTGGCGATCTCTGTGTCCTACGGACACAGCTGATCATGTGATGTGGTAAAAGGCCAATCACAGCGGCCTTTTACCACATGATCAGCCGTGTCCAATGACACGCTGCTCACCGGGAAATGCAATTGCCGGTTCTCGGCTGCACTTTCCTCACACTGTCAGAGAGTGAGGAAAGTACTGTCAAGAACCGGCAGTTGTCAGAGCAGGGATCGGCACTGATGATCAGTGCCCTGATGATCGGTGCCCAGCAGTGCTGCCAGTCAGTGCCACCTATCAGTGCACCCACCTGTGCCACCCAGCAGTGCCACATACCTGTGCCCAGAAGTGCCACCCACCTGTGCCCACCAGTGCAGCCCAGCAGTGCTGCCAGTCAGTGCCCAGCAGTTGCGCCAGTCAATGCCTAGCAGTGCTGCCAGTCAGTGCCACCTATCAGTGCCGCCTATCCGTGACACCTCATTAGTGCTGCCTATCAGTGCCGCCTATCCGTGACACCTCATTAGTGCTGCCTATTAGTGCCCATCAGTGCTGCCTCATCAACACACATCAGTGCAGGAGAAAAATTACCTGTTTGAAAAATGTTATAATAGAAACAAAGAAACTTTTTTTTTTTTTTGCAATTTTTGCTTATAGCACAAAAAGTAAAGTGCCCAGCGACGATTAAATACCACCAAAAGAAAGCTCTATTTGTGAGAAAAAAATGATAAAAATTTCATATGGGTACAATCTTGCATGACTGCGCAATTGTCAAAGTGCGACAGTGCTGAAAGCTAAAAATTGGCCTGGTAAAGAAGGGGTATACGTGCCCTGTAATATGCAAAATCTACTTGCGCTCTTATGTAAAATGATCAATAAATAAACGTAATAGCTGCTAACATCTGATCCTATACCAATAGATCTGATGAAGTGTAAAAGCAAAAAATGATGACCTCGTGACTTCCTCAGAACTTCCTCACTTCCTGAGGAAGTCACGAGGTCACGTGACGCAACGCGTCGACGGCAATACGTGGTGACGCACTTCCGGCGCGGCGCCATCTTGGAACACCCTTCAGCCACACGCTTACACCCATGGTATGGGAACAAGCTGTTTTTTTCATCTTGCTGATGTAAGTGTGCATTGTATTCAGTCTTAAGAACAATTAAAGCGGTTTTACACTATGGAGGATGTCTTCTTCTTTTATCCTATTGGGATTTGAGTTGGGACCCACCCTGCTCATCTGACCATTAAGGCTATTACAGGAGAGGTAGAATCAGTGTACTGGGGACATATCTTGAAGTCATCTACCCAAGAGGAATGTTATCTTGATCCAGTGGTGATATTACATACTCTGTGGCCCTGCAGGGTCGCAGATAGGAGGTGAGAGGCCATTTCAGCCGGTTTTGGATTGCACTTCGGGGTGTGCGGGTCCATACACAGTCCCTTGATTTTGCAGGAGTGGAAGGAATGTGATACGGATCACTGGACTTTTTTGATATGTGCACCGTGTGCAGGGGTCTCACATGTGTTTTAGATCTCACTCATCTAGTTCCATCACGCACTATTTTTCCTTTTACATGTTAATGAGCGTGTCACTGTGTTACATTGACTATGTGCCTAATATGATCTACTAACAGAGTATCTATATATTTCTTTCCATTTATAATTTTTTTTTGCTTTACCGCTACATCATTTTTTGCTTTTATAAGTGCCCTGTAGGCAAGGGGTTAAATTGGGTGGCGGCGACATGGTGGCTGATGGCAGGTGATTGGGTGTTGGCAGCGCGGGGGTTGGGTGGGGTGCACAATTCATGCGTTGCCTAGGCCAGCACTAGAAATGAATACACCACTGGGCAGGGAACTTGGAATGGATGCATTCACCAGGGAAGCTGTTTCTAGAACTGTAAAGCCTGGCAACCACCACAGGGGGCGCCCTTCGAAAGCCCCATACAAGGGTTTGCTCTAGCGCCCCCAATGGCTCATATCAGAAAGGCCTTCACCGGTGGCTCCTAAAGCCCGTACCAAGCTCACATCTGCACAGTAGTCACCAGCTGGATTTAACCACTTGTCTGCCACGCCGTTTATGCACATACCTTGGCAGGCAAGGGGTTAAACAAGATTGCCCCTCCCCTTTCTTTTAAAAAAATTTGGAGGGGGAGGGGTAGCTTTTTTGGGGAGCACAGCACGCCTTCACCTCTCTAGCCTGGGCGAATATGAACTTTCAAGCTGCCCAAAGCCTCCCACGATAATCCCATCACACATCCCAGGAGGCTCCGGGGCAATGACAGATTTACCAAAACTGAGCGCAAAATCTGGTGCCGCTGTGCACGGGAGCCAATCAGCTTCCAGATTCTATTGAACAAGCTGAAGGTAGAAGCTGATAGGCTCCCATGCACAGCGGCACCAGATTTTGCGTTCTCCGGCTTTAGAAATTCTCTGCTATTGCGTCATCAGGAACTTGGAAAAGGAGGCCAGCTCCCCTGATGACATCAAGATGGAGGAAGACTTCAGGACAGCGCTGGGTCTGCTGGACACACAAGTATGTGAAGATGAGCCAGAAAAACAGAAAAGAGGAAGGAAATAAATACAAAACGAAAAACACACACAGAGGGTGGAGTTCCTCTTTAAGGCGAGGTTCACAGTTACACGATTTGCGTTTGATCTGTTCTGCAGTGCTTTTTTGCATGTGTTTTTTATGCGTTTTGCTTTGTTTTTTCTTGTTGCCGGGCAGAATAAAAAGCAAAACACATCAAAAACGTGTCAAAAACGCACTAGATGCTTTTCTGCAGCATCTCCATTGAAGTCTATAGGCTTCAATAGTCTATTGCTTTTTTTTTCACATGCATTTTTGCCACTTTTGTTTTTAACTTGTTGCCAGGCAGAATAAAATGTATCAAAAACGCACAACATGTTTTTCTGCAGAGTGTCCATTGAAGTCTATAGGCTTCAATAGTCTATTGCTTTTTTGCTCATGCATTATTGCTGCATTTTTTTTTTTTTTGCCCAACTTGTTGCCAGGCAGAATAAAATGCATCAAAAACGCACAACATGTTTTTCTGCAGCATCTCCATTGAAGTCTATAGGCTTCAATAGTCTATTGCTTTTTTGCACATGCACAGCCGCATTTTTTTTTTTTTCATTTTGTTGCCGGGTAGAATAAAACACGTAAAAAATGCACTACATGCAGCGTTTCCATTGAAGTCTATATTACCAAAAACACATTTTACATTTAAAAAAGTCCCTGACCCAAAAAGCGCGGCGGGTGAAAACGCGGAGATGTGAACGTGTCCCATAGGAAATCATGTTAAATGGACTGTACTGCGTTTCTGGAAAACGCATGGGTGTGATCCTAGACCAGCAATGGGCAAACTACGGCCTGCGGGCCGTATACGGCCCGGCGGACCTTTTAATCCGGCCCGCGGAGCTAGGCTCCTCTCACAGTCCGCCCTGAAGACCGGTGTAGCATGAAAATCTGTCTCCTATGAGGATCTGTCCCCCTCGACGTATCTGCGCATGTGCCGGAGATCGCCGATCGGCTGCTAATACCTGAAACTGGCACATGTGCAGATACGTCGAGGGGGACAGATCCTCATAGGAGACAGATTTTCATGCTACACCGGAACGGCGCGGGAATACGGCGAGAGGAACGCGCGGAGCAAAGGTAAGTGAATTGACACAGGGGGACTTAATATGGGGGATGAATTACTATAGGGGGGATGAATTACTATAGGGGGGATGAATTACTATAGGGGGGATGAATTACTATGGGGGGGATGAATTACTATGGGGGGGATGAATTACTATAGGGGGATGAATTACTATAGGGGGGATGAATTACTATATTGGGGATGAATTACTATATTGGGGATGAATTACTATATTGGGGATGAATTACTATGGGGGATGAATTACTATGGGGGATGAATTACTATAGGGGGGATGAATTACTATAGGGGGGATGAATTACTATAGGGGGGATGAATTACTATAGGGGGGATGAATTACTACAGGGGGGATGAATTACTACATGGGGGATGAATTACTACATGGGGGATGAATTACTACAGGGGGGATGAATTACTACGGGGGGGATGAATTACTAATTACTACGGGGGGGATGAATTACTACGGGGGGGATGAATTACTATGGGGGATGAATTACTACATGGGGGATGAATTACTACATGGGGGATGAATTACTACATGGGGGATGAATTACTACATGGGGGATGAATTACTATATGGGGGATGAATTACTATATGGGGGATGAATTACTATAGGGGGGATGAATTACTATAGGGGGGATGAATTACTATAGGGGGGATGAATTACTATAGGGGGGATGAATTACTATGGGGAATGAATTACTATGGGGGATTAATTACTATAGGGGGGATTAATTACTATATGGGGGATTAATTACTATATGGGGGATTAATTACTATATGGGGGGATGAATTACTATATGGGGGGATGAATTACTATATGGGGGGATGAATTACTATGCTTACTATGGGGGAATATTACTATACTTACTATGGATGACACATACACATCATTCATCTACTCTTGGTCCGGCCCCCGGGTCCAATATATGAACCCATTGCGGCCCTCAAGTCAAAAAGTTTGCCCACCCCTGTCCTAGACTAATGCTCGGTTCATACCTATGCCATTTGCGTTTGATCCGTTCTGCGGTGCTTTTTGCGATGTGTTTTGCTTTTTTTTGCACGCGCGTATTTGACGCTTTTTATTTTCCCTCAACTTGTTGCTGGACAGAACAAAACACAAAAAGCGTCAAAAACGCACTACATGCTTTTCTGCAGCATTTCCATTGAAGTCTTTAAATCCAAAAACACAACATTTTCGTTTAAAAAAAAAAAAGTCCCCAACCTTTTCCAAAAAGCGCGCCGGGTGAAAAACACGAAGATGTGAACGTGTCCCATAGGAAACCATGTTAAACAGACTGCAAAACGCAATGGAAAACGCATAGGTGTGATCCTAGACGGAGCCTGGGAACTGCACTGCATCCGTGCAAACCACATGCGATTTGTGTGCAGTGCAATGTTTGAGCCATACATTTTGTACGGCTCAAATCGCACATCAAAAAAAAAAAAGCGCAGTACCCTTCTGGTCTGCACCAGAATTGGATGGTATGGGCAATCACACAGATTCTGCACATCGCACTGCGTTTTGCAGACCGATTTTGGGGTGTCGTTCACTTAAAATACACACCCGCAGCGGTTCGTATGAACGGAGTGCGATTATAATGCGAAGGTCGCACAGAGACCGGTAAGAATTCCGCACCGCATCAGTGTGAACCCGGGCTAAAGTAGAACTTTAGCCACATTTCCTCGGACAGGGGTTACAGCCACAGGTCACTGCTCCTGTTCATGAGATCACGCTACATTTCCTCTGTTGTCACCAAAACAGGAAGTGAGCGGATCTCCCCGGTGGGGACACCTGTGTTGTCACCAAAACAGGAAGTGAGAGTGGATCTTCCCAGTGGGGACGCCTGTGTTGTCACCATAACAGGAAGTGAGTGGATCTCCCCGGTGGGGACACCTGTGTTGTCACCAAAACAGGAAGTGAGAGTGGATCTTCCCAGTGGGGACACCTGTGTTGTCACCATAACAGGAAGTGAGTGGATCTCCCCGGTGGGGACGCCTTTGTTGTCACCATAACAGGAAGTGAGTGGATCTCCCCGGTGGGGACGCCTTTGTTGTCACCATAACAGGAAGTGAGTGGATCTCCCCGGTGGGGACGCCTGTGTTGTCATCATAACAGGAAGTGAGAGGGATCTCCCCGATGGGGACGCCTGTGTTGTCACCATAACAGGAAGTGAGAGTGGATCTTCCCAGTGGGGACACCTGTGTTGTCACCAAAACAGGAAGTGAGAGCGATTCTCAAAGGTGGGGACACCTGTGTTGTCACCAAAACAGGAAGTGAGAGTGAATCTTCCCAGTGGGGACACTGAGAACACCTCTCTAGTCAGCCTGTACAGCGCCACAGCCTACGACAGCACCATGGGAGCCCATTTCACATTATGTTCTATGCTAGGCCGAGCAGAGGGTGCTCCCTGGAGGTCCTGCTGAGTCTGAGCCCTCCCCATCCCCCATGACAGGCAGCCTGTTCCCAGGAATAGGGTGTCCCCAGGCCTCACCTTGAAGTCATTGCTGCTCAGATCCACCCCCCGGATGAAGGGCAGCACCCCGGTGGCCGCCATGTCCGCTGTCAGGGAGGGTCTGTCTGCTCTCGGTGGCGGCAGCAGTAGGAAGAACTCAAGCCACGCCCCTCTGCTCACTCAATCCTGGCAGCAGCCACACCCTAGCCCGGCGTCCACCAATCCCCGCCCACCTCACCCTCTCCTCCAATCGCCGTTCAGCTGTCCCTGAGGACCTGTCGGCGAGTCTTTATCACCCCTAACTCCTCCATGTGTAGAATGTCCCGGCCTGAAGAATCATGGAGGTCTATCTATGTAATCATGAACAGCAACCGGCTCGTTAGGTTTCTGTGAGTCATTCCGCGGAGCGCTGGTGACGTCACGCGGAAGTCTCGCTCGCTCTCTCTCATTGGTGGAGCGGAATTACTATTTTCAGGCCCGGAACCTTTTTTTTTTTCCCCCGCCCGCTTGACGTCAGATGTTTTTTCTTTGCACGGCGACAATCATTGGCTGCTCCGCAAAACCTAAGCGGTGATTGGACTGCGGGTTCCACATGTGTGCTGCCATTGGCGGCCTGGTGGGAGGCACGTGATTGGCTGGCCGATGGAGCGCTGTAATTGGTCAGAGTGCTCTGCTGCGTGCGGACGGCCGGAGGCGGCGGTAGAGGAGAAGGAAAAGGAGAAGGTGGAGGCTGCTGGCTGCGGAGCGGGCCGTAGTAGCGGGTGAGTGTGAAGGACCCGGGAGGGGTACACAGCTGAGGTGGGGAGGCTTCTGCCAAGAAGGGCAACATTCAACCATGGGGGGCTTGACAGCACCGGGGCCCTGACCCCACGTCCCTCCCCATGGGGGGGTCCCTGACCCCACGTCCCTGCCCATGGGGGGGTCCCTGACCCCACGTCCCTCCCCGAGGGGGTGCACCCTGACCCCACGTCCCTCCCCGAGGGGGTGCGCCCTGACCCGACGTCCCTCCCCGGTGTCCCATACGTGTTGCTATTGGGCATGGAACATACAGGGGGCAATTGTCATCTGATCCAAGTGACCCTACAGCGCCCCCCACTGAGTGTGTGTGGTGTCATCTGTGGGCAATAATAATGGCTCGCCTGAACACCGCCTTACCCTCCTATTGATCACAGGAAACAGAGAGAGGCAGGGGCCCCAATGGGGGATGACTAGACCAGCATTAGTCTGTAAGAAAAACTGTATATACACTATATTGCCAAAAGTTCTGGGCCTGCCCTCCATATCATGTGATTCACCTCCATGGCCACAGGTGTATAAGCCCCTAGGCATGCAGACTGCTTCTACAAACATTGGTGAAAGAATGGGTCGCTCTCAGGACTCAGTGACTCCAAGCGTGGTCCCGTGATAGGTTGTCACCTGTGCAATAAGTCCATCCGTGACATTTCCTGGCTACTAAATATTCCACGCTCAACTGTTAGTGGGATTATAACAAAGTGGAAGCAACTGGGAACAACAGCAACTCAGCCACCAAGTGGTAGGCCACGTCACACGACAGGGTGGGGTCAGTGCATGCTGAAGCGCACAGTGCGCAGAAGTCACCAACTGTCTGCAGAGTCAATAGCTAAAGACCTCCAAACTTCATGTGGCCTTCAGATGAGCACAACAACAGTGCGTAGAGATCCTCATGGAATGGGTCTCCATGGCCGAGCAGCTGCATCCAAGCCTTACATCACCAAGTGCAATGCAAAGTGTCGGATGCCGTGGTGTAAAGCACGCCGCCACTGAACTCTAGAGCAGTGGAGACGTGTTCTCTGGAGTGACCAATCGTGCTTCTCTGTCTGGCAGTTCGATGGACGTGTCTGGGTTTGGCGGTAGCCAGGAGAACGGTACTTGCCTGAATGCATTGTGCCAAGTGTAATGTTTGGTGGAGGGGGGATTATGTGTGGGGTTGTATTTCAGGGGTTGGGCTTGGCCCCCTAGTTCCAGTGAAGGGAAATCTTAAGGCGTCAGCATACCAAGACATTTTGGACAATTTCATGCTCCCCCCTTTGTGGAAAGAGTTTGGGGATGGCCCCTTCCTGTTCCAACATGACTGTGCACCAGTGCACAAAGCAAGGTCCATAAAGACATGGAGGAGCCAGTTTGGGGTGGAGGGACTTGACTGGCCTGCACAGAGTCCTGACCTCAACCCCATAGAACACCTTTGGGATGAATTAGAGCGGAGACTGTGAGCCAGGCCTCCTCCCCCGACATCAGTGCCTGACCTGACAAATGTGCTTCTGGAAGAATGGTCCAACCTTCCCATAGACACCCTCCTAAACCTTGTGGACGGCCTTCCCAGAAGAGTTGAAGATGTTATAGCTGCTGTTCTTTCTGATACTTCTCAAATAGACAGGAAGTAGGAAGAGTATCCCTCATTTCCTGTTCTGACATCTATAGATGGGAAGTAAGATAAATATCCCTCACCTTTTGTTTTGTCTGACATCTGTGATCTAGACAGAACAGAAAGTGAGGGATACTCTCCATACTTCCTCATACAAGTCACATAGGCGGGACGTAAGAGGAGTATCACTCAGTGCATTACCACAAAATATACTACCCAAAACCTGAGATTTGTAACCATTTGTTAGGACAGATGGTGTGCAGATTTGGTTTACAACTGATAATGAGATCTACCAGCACAGTGCAGACAGGGCTCATTATAGTAAACATAACTCCCAGCCCCCTCCTTCACATTATAAAGGGTAAAACTGGGTAGGATCTTCAACCTCTTTCCCGCTGTCCTATAGCAGAAATACTGCCACAGGGTGGCAGGGGTGTGCAAAATCACATGTGTGTATATATACCTGATTTTGCATTTCTGGGTAGGGGGTATGTGCCCACTACCCACACCACCATTGGTGGCCTAAATTGTCGATCACAGGGTCCCAACCAGTGATTCCCCTTCGGCACCCGGTGATCAACGCCTGTCAATGACAGGTGAGAGATATGTATGTAAACAATATAGATCACTCCCCTGTCAGCTCCTGCACACTGTTTTGTATGGCTCTGCATATTGAAATTAAAATAATATAACAAAAACCACAAAAAAAAAAAAAATTAATAATATTTTCAGTATGAATCAAATAAAAGTCCAATCAAAAAATCAAGTTCAATCAATAATGTGTTCATTCAGTGAACCCTCCTTTGGATAACGAAAAATATGTGCATCTGTCATCAATTCCCATGCACAGGCATCCTCCACCATATATCCCATGCAAAGACATCCTCCACCATATATATGTCTTTGCACGGGACATATGGCGGAGGGTATCTTTGCACGGGACATATGGCGGAGGATGTCTTTGCACGGGACATATGGCGGAGGATGTCTTTGCACGGGACATATGGCGGAGGGTGTCTTTGCACGGGACATATGGTGGAGGGTGTCTTTGCACGGGACATATGGCGGAGGGTGTCTTTGCACGGGACATATGGCAGAGGGTGTCTTTGCGCGGGACATATGGCGGAGGGTGTCTTTGCACGGGACATATGGCGGAGGGTGTCTTTGCACGGGACATATGGCGGAGGGTGTCTTTGCACGGGACATATGGCGGAGGGTGTCTTTGCACGGGACATATGGCGGAGGGTGTCTTTGCACGGGACATATGGCGGAGGGTGTCTTTGCACGGGACATATGGCGGAGGGTGTCTTTGCACAGGAATTGATGACAGATGCACATATTTTTTGTTATCCAAAGGAGGGTTCACTGAATGAACACTTTAATGATCTTGATTTTTTGATTGGACTTTATTTGATTCATATGAAAATATTCTTAATTTTTATTTATTTTTTATTTGTTTGTGTGGCTTTTGTTATATTATTTTAATTTCAATATTAATATATTTTTTCTATTTTGTCTTCTAATATATATTTCTTCACTTTGTTTTTTGGTTATATAATGGTTTGTACCACTGTTTCACGTAGCACAGCAAAATTAGATTAAAAAAAAAATTCTCTTTTTCTTTTACTGGACATGTTTAATAGCAAAGAATCAAAAATATTGTTTTGGTTTTTTTTTTTTTTCTCAATTTATAGCGCAAACCCTCCCCCCCAAAAAAAATGGAGAGGTGATCAAATAGCCCTATTTGTGGGGAAAAAAAGGACATCAATTTCATATGGGTGCAGCGTCCGTGTAATTTTCGGTTAAAGTAACACAGCGCCGTATCACAAAAAATGGCCTGGTCAGGAAGGGGGTAAATCCTTTGGAGGGCAAGTGGTTAATCACGTAAAAAGGGAAAACCGCAGATTTTCCTGCATACACTGTTTGGGGTGACCACTTCCTTTTGTGTGACTCGGGACCTTCATTTTGCTTTTTGAACATGATAAAACCTTTTACCTGTGTACACTCCAAAGACATGCTGGTCGGTTAATTGGATCCTGTCTAAATTGTCCCTAGTATGTGTATGTATGACTGTGAGTTAGGGACCTTAGATTGTACACCCCTTGAGGGTTAGGGACCTTAGATTGTACGCCCCTTGAGGGTTAGGGACCTTAGATTGTACGCCCCTTGAGGGTTAGGGACCTTAGATTGTACGCCCCTTGAGGGTTAGGGACCTTAGATTGTACGCCCCTTGAGGGTTAGGGACCTTAGATTGTACGCCCCTTGAGGGTTAGGGACCTTAGATTGTACGCCCCTTGAGGGTTAGGGACCTTAGATTGTACGCCCCTTGAGGGTTAGGGACCTTAGATTGTACGCCCCTTGAGGGTTAGGGACCTTAGATTGTACGCCCCTTGAGGGTTAGGGACCTTAGATTGTACGCCCCTTGAGGGTTAGGGACCTTAGATTGTACGCCCCTTGAGGGTTAGGGACCTTAGATTGTACGCCCCTTGAGGGTTAGGGACCTTAGATTGTACGCCCCTTGAGGGTTAGGGACCTTAGATTGTACGCCCCTTGAGGGTTAGGGACCTTAGATTGTACGCCCCTTGAGGGTTAGGGACCTTAGATTGTACGCCCCTTGAGGGTTAGGGACCTTAGATTGTACGCCCCTTGAGGGTTAGGGACTGATGTGAATGTACAATATACTGTATATGTAAAGTGCTGCGTAAATTGACGGCGCTATATAAGTACCTGAAATAAATAATGTAAATAAGGAACGGAAGCAAACAAGAATCCAGCTTCGTCAGATTGTTGACATGCCTCTGATTTTAATATTGCTCAGTGTACTGTAAACACAGGTCAGCTATTCTTCGGCTGAGACATTGGACGGGTCCCAGGTACTTGGGGTTATTATCTGCTCCCAGGAATGTGCCGCACCTCTGCTGAGTCCTGGCTGCCTGCTGGAGTTGTCTCTGCTGGTTCTGATTGCTGATATCTTGCGTCATGCCGTGTAAATGTTTGTGTGTGTGCTCAGCCGCTGAAGCCTCGGTGTAAAAGTAATAACACTGCTTATGTAGGACACACAGGGGCGGACTGACAACTCATGGGGCCCCCGGGCAATAAGGGATCATGGGGCCCCTGTGTCCTTGCCCGAACTCAAAAAAGCCTATGAAAAAGGTACCAGGGGCATCTCATGGGGCCCCCTACTGACCCCGGGCCCTCGGGCAGTGCCCGAGTTTCCAAATGGTCAGTCCGCCCCTGAGGACACATAGTATTCTTAAAGCTGAACTCCAGGCACACTGCTACACAAATAAAATGCTTATGAGAACAGTTTTACCTGCCAAAGGATTTGTATTTCTGTCCATCCTGTCCTGTGATTTACACAGCTTTGGCAGAAAGCACGGCCCTGTCTAGCATGAACGACACTTGGTCTTTTGTCTGTTGTAGATTAATTTTCACTAACCGTTCCATCCCCAGCCTGTGACTAGCTAGTTGACAGTGAAGGGGGTTCCCCACCTATGCTCTCTCCTCCTATCAGCATGCTCACCTGACTGCCGGCTTGTGCTGCCTCTCCCTCCTGGAGTATTATTTACATTTTGATTCCTTTTCTCTTTATTTACAGTCTGATGATGGCAGAAATGCAGCTTCAGAAAAAAGGCAAAAAAGCAGATGATGGGATTGGCAGTGTGGTGGACTTCCTATTGGCCAACGCCAGACTGGTGCTCGGTGTGGGAGGAGCCGCCATGCTTGGTATTGCCACACTGGCTGTAAAACGGGTAAGGATTAGTATGTGGCAGCATGCTATCTGTTGTAGCATGAGAATATCTGTGTCATGGGATAACTTGCATGCAGGTAAGCAGATGCAGATTCACCAGCACTTTAAATGAATGATATCGTGCTTCTTGTGAAGGCAGCTTCATAGAAGGCATAAGAAACCAATGTCATGGGTCCTTTTCTCAAGGAAACTTAAAGCGGAGCTCCACCCAAGGATTGGCACCTTTTGGGTTTCCATTTCCACTGCGATCGCCCATGTGATTGGAAGTGGCAGTTGTCGTATACCAATCCCCCCCCCCCCCCCCCCCCGTAGTCTTCTAGGACACATGACAGGTCCCAGAAGACTGCAGAACTATTCACAAGGTGCAGCACTACTCGTGCACTTGCAGTGGGCTCCCGGCTGTGGAGCCGCAAGCTGTCACAGCTGGGTGCCCACACTTAAAGTGGTTGTAAAGGCTCGAGTTTTTTTACTTTCATGCATTCTATGCAAAAAAAATCTTCTGTGTGCAGCAGTGGCCCCAGCCCCGTCCATACTTACCTGAGCCCTATCAAGATCCAGCGATGTGCATGGCAGTCTCAACTGTTCCGGATCTCTGTTTCTCATTGGCTGAGACAATTGTCTCCCGCTGCTGTCGCACAGCCAGTGAGTGGACACAGGGAGCAGTAGGTTCCCCATAGCAAGCTCCTTGCTGTGGGGCACCCGACAGAAAGGAGGAGCCAGGAGAGCCTGCGGGGCCATTGGCTCCCACTGCTGTCACACAGCCAATGAGGTGGGGGGGTGCAAGCCACGGCTCCGTGTGTGAATGGACACACGGAGCAGCAGGTGCCCCCAGCCCCTTCAATACTTGCCTGAGCCCCATCAAGATCCAGCGATGTGCATGGCAGCCTCAGCTGTCCCGGGTCTCTGTTTCCTCATTGGCTGAGACAGCACGCAGGGACCATTGGCTCCTGCTGCTGTCACACAGCCAATGAATGGACACACGGAGCAGTAGGTGCCCCCAGCCTCCTCAGTACGTGCCTGAGCTCCTTTGAGATCCAGCGATGTGCGTGGCAGCCTCAGCTGTCCCGGGTCTCTGTTTCCTCATTGGCTGAGACAGCACGCAGGGACCATTGGCTCCTGCTGCTGTCACACAGCCAATGAATGGACACACGGAGCAGTAGGTGCTCCCAGCCTCTCCAGTACGTGCCTGAGCTCCTTTGAGATCCAGCGATGTGCGTGGCAGCCTCAGCTGTCCTGGGTCTCTGTTTCCTCATTGGCTGAGACAACATGTGGAACCATTGGCTCCCGCTGCTGTCACACAGCCAATGAATGCACACACAGAGCAGCAGGTGCCCCACACCAGGATGCTTGCTGGTGGGGGCACCTGACAGAAAGGAGGAACCAGGAGAGCCTGCAGGGGACCTGAAAAGAGGAGGATCGGGGCTGCTCTGAGCAATACACCTGCACTCAGGAGGTAAGTATAACATGTTTGTTATTTTCCAAAAAAAAAAAATAACGTTTTAGTATCGCTTTAAGATGCCAAAACCACGGAGAGAGGACGGCCGGTGAAATTGGCCGTGGTGAGGACACTGCAGGACTGAGGGACAGGTAAGTGTCTGTTTTTTAAAAGTCAGCAGCTACAGTTTTTGTAGCTGCTGACTTTTATACATTTTGACTGGAGTTCTGCACATTTACACATTTACTTGGAGTCTGGTAACTTTATATCTGGTTCTGGCACAGCAGCACCTGCACTTCGAGCACCCATCATTAGAAAGTTAAGCACTTTGAGGAGTGCAGCGTCTATTTGGATTTTATTGGAAGCAGTTAATGCATATGTGCAGCAAGGAGGGAAATCCGTTGTCCACTTTTAGTCATCACACTGCTGTTTTGGTAAAGCTATTCTCCGGGATCACTTAAAAAACGATCCATGCATTGGTGTTTCCCCCTCGGTGCAGGAGTTAAATGTTTGTTTTTTGCCTAGGGTACCATTAAAAATAATTTTCTTCTTCTTTATTCGTCGATCCTGAAGGCTTTCCCCAACTATGTCTGACCGGTCCCCCAGAGGGCGATCCTCTTTTGCACTCTGATGTCATCACATGCAGGGCAAGCAAGTGTAAGTGAAGATGTTGAGGGCCCACCTACAACCCGGTACATCAGGATGGAAGAGGAGAGCACTGCCTGCGGGGGGGGGGGGGGGGGGGGAGTGAGGAATAAGAGATGAGGATGTGCTTTGTAATGGTGTCCTGAACCAAACAAGCATTTGAATCAGGGGTGTCTAACCTTCTGACCCTTCCAGATGCCATTTAAAACTTGAAGAAAAGAGGCTGTGCCTGCAACTGGGCTTTTAAATATATTGTATCAGACATTCCAGATCCTATTGTTGGGGGCTGCGCATTCAGATGTTCGTGGTTTTTTTTTTTTTTTTTTAATATTGGGAATGTCAAGAATAAAATAGTTTCTCATTGTGTACCGCATTTGATAACACCTCTTGGTGGAGCTGTACTCTGCACAATTTATCGCCTCATCCTCTTGTCTTCTGCAGCTTATTGACCGGGCAGCCTCTCCTCCCGATGAGAAAGACCCAGAGATGAAGGCAGAGCAGAAGTCTTTTGAGGAGAGCTGGAAAGAGGCTGTTTTGTTAAAGGCCTCTCCACAACTTTCACGGAGGACAAAGCGTGCCGATCTCTCAGCGCTTCATTACCACCCCCAGAGCCCAGCCAGCCTGCTAAAGGTGGGTGCTAATAGTAAAATTCTCATTCTTTGTAAACCTCGAAGGTACCTATAGTGAAACCAAGCAAGGGTTACCTATAGCTAAATAGGCATGTCAATATGATCATTAGATCCAAAGAGTAGGCAGCAAGGAGACTTTACCAGTGAATTTGCTTAACCCTCCCCCACCACCATCTTTAGAGCCTTCCTATTGGTTAATGATTCCATACATTATTATTTAATTTCAGGTACTTATATAGTGCCGTCAATTTATGCAGCTCTTTACATATATATATTGTACAGTTCACATCATCCCTAACCCTCAAGGGGTGTACAATCTAAGTACATTCACATCACAATCTAAGTCCCTAACCCTCAAGGGGTGTAACAATCTCTAAGGTCCCTAACCCTAAGGTCCCTAAGGGGTGTACAATCTAAGGTCCATAACTCACATTCATATATACACATACTAGGGATAATATACACAGGAGCCAATTAACCTACCAGCATGTCTTTGGAGCATGGGAGGAAACCAGAGTACCCGGAGGAAACCCACGCAGGGAGAACATGCAAACTCCAGGCAGGTGGTGCTGTGGTTGGGATGCGAACCAACGACCCCAGTACTGCCAGGCGGAAGTGCTAACCATTTAGCCACAGTGCTGCATTAATAACCACTTTCTGCCCATAGGATGTCATATGACGTCCTCGGGTTGAAGTGGTTCTACTGGGATGATGCTGTACCCCATTAAACACCCACCATTTTATTCTCTAGGTAAAAATGTATATAACGTGGAGGTTCTAAGTAATTTCCGAGCATTTCTTTATTTTTTTTTTTTTTTTGCATGTATGTGTGAATAGTCAGAATTGGCCTAGGTGGAAAGTGGTTAAGGGGCTGAGAGGTATAGCTAAAGGCAAGTTTTTTTTTTTTTGTGTTTTTTTTTTTTTTTTTTTTTTGTTTTGCTCCAGATGAAGTGGAGAGGGATTAGAACCCTTGGAAGGTTTTTATCGCTGTCTGTGCACCCATTAGGTAGAGTCACCCTCTCTATTTGTCCTGTTTACCACTATCACTGAAATTCAAAGAAAATCCCAAATTTTGGGCTGTCTTGAGAATGGTAATAGTGTAAATTTACCATTGGGGACACAGGTTCTTATGACCCTAGTGACACCCAGGGATCCCCTCATTTTTGAGAGCTATGTTTTTGGGTATGGGACAGGAGGCAAAGGGAAATCTTCCCTTTGGGACTTAAAAGGCAAATTAAAACCTGCAATTTGGTTGTAACCTCCCCTTACTCTATCCAAACTGAAAAAAAAAAAAGTTTTTCCTTAGTTCTAAGAATTTCATAAAACTTCATCTGCCTGTATGCCTGGATCTACTGATCACTGAAGGTAACCTCCGTGAGCATTGTGGAGATATTTTAATTTCTGAAGGTAACAAAAGCTGCCATTGCCGACTTCTCTGCCTGTCACGTTGATCCACTGGCTTTAGTGCTTTCTAATTCACTGACCCAAAAGAAGTATGCAGGTGATGGGTTATTTACCGACATGATTCTTGTTCAAGGTCCGTGACTCAAACTGTTGAAGCCAATGGATGGGCATGACATACAGGTACAATTGCTAAGAGAAGGACATTTTAAAAAGTAGCCTCTACATATTTTCCTGAGTTCAACTTTGTTTGAAGTCAGTTCCCATGTCTGTTCCCTTCACCAGTTTGCTGTTGGTTCCTAACCATGACGTGTGGCTTCATTGACCAATAGTGAGATGCAGGAAAGGATGGGCAATGTTTCATGGGATGTTCCAAAAGGCACCAAAGTGTTCCTCATATTTGCTGGGAAGCTCAGGAAGACATCACAATGTTTTACCGGGCACCCCTGCCTACTTCCAGTTCACTTCTGCTTTTGTAGGGTGTCCATTTATGACAGGTGCACTTTGAAAGTTTTCTAAAATTCTTCATTTCATCCTTTGCCATTTACAGAAGTCACTGCTGTTGCTGAAGAGAATGTCCCTGTTGAAGTGAAGAAGACCCCTATCTGTTTTACCCTGCAGGAGATGCTCCTGGATTATTACAGAATTGAAGCCTGTGTGTCAGAATCTCAGACCGAAGCAGTCAGACAGCTGGTGCTGGACATCAGGAACGAGCTGCAGGACTTTCTGAAGGCCAAGCACCCAGAAATGCCTTTTTCTGCCCTGCAGCTAGGGGGCTCTCTGGGTAACGATCTTCCCATGGCCTGCATAGACCACACATGCTTGTTGCTACCTCTGATCTTGGAGCCCCATTTGTGGACTTTTGTACCAGGACAGGCAACTATCCTTAATGACCCTCAGTTCTGGATGATTAAACGGGTCAACCTAGAGTACACAGCTCGGGGAAGCAGTCTCTGGGATCGGTTCATGCTAGGAGGCTACCTCTCCACTCGGACAATCGTTGAATCCTTGCACAAGATAATTGTTGGGTCCATCAACTGGCCAGCCATAGGAACAGTGTTAGAGTGTACTATAAGGCCAGTCATTAATCCGGATGACCTTAAACTGGAAGTGACCCACAATGACTTCACACTGGTGATTGACATTATCCCGATGGCTGAAACCAAAGACCTAGTCCTGCTGGCTTATTCACACTCAACAGCTCCTGCAGAAAACCTTTGGCACAGAAGCTTCTTCTGTGAAGAAAATGGCCGGCTTCAAGACCTAGACAGTGCTGACTCCGGGGTCAGACAAAAGTGCCTCCAGATTCTCAAAAGCATCTGCAAAAAGCGCCCTGGTCTCACTCAGTTGTCCTCAACCCACGTAAAGCACGTCCTCTTGCACATCAGTAATGAGCCCTCTGATTGGACAGAGGCCGCTTTGTCTGATCGATTTCTGCAAGTCATTGAGGCTCTCATTGGATTCTTGGATCAAGGGTTCCTCCCCTGTTTTTTTGATGATGCAGTCAATTTATTTTCTTGTCTGACAGAGGATGACATAGAAGAGATAGGATACAGCCTGTATCAGATTTTTTCTAAGCCAGAGTCATTGTTAAACAAATGAAACACCTTTACTGTCCTAAATACCCTCAATTTACTGCTGAATTTACCAAGCTAGCCAGCAGCACAAGACTAGTGGCCACTTTTAAGCTCTCTAGGTGAAATTTATAGTCTGCCAAGTGTTTAAAAAAAAAAAATCGCCATATGAGGAATTATCTGCTACCTGCACTTTCCAAGTCAGTATATTCTAAAATCTTTTCTTGTCTCTTTACAATCAGAAGAAACCGAGATGATTTTTATTTTTTGTTTTTCGGATCCCTCGTTTACCATTTTTGTTGGAGTCAAACTACAAACATGGTGGTCAAGAGTCAGCAACTGCACATTTTACTGAATGGATGGTGTGCTATGCAAGAAAAATAGGGAAACCAGCTGTAGATAGTGGAGCAGAGCTGTAGGGAATCCACTTCAAGTCCCACAGGTGGAAAGTAACTTTTTCGGTTGCTGGAAATTCATGTTCCTTGTTTCTAGAAAATTTTGGACTGACCTCTCCACTCATTGTGGTATGAGTATAAATGAGGTGGAAGATTCAACTCCTCAAAGGATTATGGTTGAGGAAGGTAGGGCTAAGTGGCTCCAGTGAGGCTGCCCTCCTATAAAAAAAAAAGGGGGGGGGGGAGAACCCCAACTTCAAGTATAAAAAGTCTGAGAGCACCAGCACAAAGCCGGGAGATTTCAAAGTCTTTTAATAAAGGTATTCATTGACAGCAAGACAATGTAAAAATCCAACACGTTTCAAAAAAAAAAAATCTCTCTTCTTCAGGGCTTTAAAAGGTTCCTGGGGACCTTCGTAGGGCATCCACTTCACCTACCACAGTTGGAACCTAATTTTTTTTTTCTTTTGCTGGAAGTTCACTCTCCCAGGATCAAAAAATTTACCTTTGGACTGACCTCTCCACTTATTTGTCCCCATCCTTCTTTTAGGTGATTGTGTTTCTGCTGGGTGCAGCAGTCGGTTTTTCGTGTTTTGTATTGGGAGTGAGAACTGTCTACATGGGCGGCACATGTGCCATATCTGAATGATTGCTGCTGCCCATATAACATATGCAAGTGTGCTGTGTTTCTACATTTTTTTTTTAGGTTTGGGGTATTTGAGCCAGTGTGCTGTAGATTAGACTGAGCCTTTCCAATGCTGAATTCTAGGAGCTGCAATTCAAGAACATTCGATAGGTTGATTGCTCGAATCTTTGTCCTTACTGCTGCTATTATTAATACTTCAACTGGAGACTTATACAAGGTATTCAGGGTAGGTGCACATAACTTCACAAGCACTGGTATCTGTTTTTTCTTTTACGCTTTTTAATTGCATCGTAGACTGTAATCGTTTGCTATGTAAGCTTCTTTTTAATATTTGCACAAATTCATGGCAGTTTTCTTTACTTTGATTCTAAATTGCACTGGTGTTGAGATAGCTTGAATCTTTTGTGTGCACTTAAGCAGCTGATTTTGTTCTCAGAGCCAATATTCTGCTTAGCAATACGGGAGGGACCAGAGACGCAACTGTGACGTGAGCCGCACTGTGCCAAAGTGACCTCTGCACCGTGATGAACTGGAAACCTGAATTTCTTTAATAGATTTATTCCATAAAATGGTAAAACGTGTAAACTTGAACCAGGGTAGAATGATTTACCTTGTTTGAGCACAACTGGAATGCTCCAGCCAGCCTACATCAGTGGCTGACTGGTTTCATTTAAAGCCTAAGGCTGGCCATACATTATACAATTTTCTTGACATTTTTGGTTTAGATTTACCAAAAACCATATAATAGGAGGTCAAACCTAACAACACTTTCAATTGTATCCAATTAGACAGGCTCTTGCACTAAGGTAAATCTAAATGAAATTGGGCAGAAACTGGACAGAAACTTGTATAGTGTATGGGTAGCCTAAGGCTATACAATTTTCTGTTCCATTTCCTTTAGATTTTCCTTCAACTATGTAGTGCAAGGGCCTGCCTAATTGGATATAATTGAAAGTGTTGTTAGGTTTGACCTACCATTTATATGGTTTTTGGTAAATCTAAAGCAAAATTCTTAAGAAAATTGTATAATGTATGGCCAGCCTAACTCTACACTATGGGGTTTATTTACTAAAGCTGGAGAGTCCAAAATCAGACTCCCTTCTGCATAGAAACCAATCAGCTTCCAGGTTTCATTGCCAAAGCTTCATTGAACAAGCTGAGGTTAGAAGCTGATTGGTTTCTATGCAGAAGGGAGTCTGATTTTGGACTCTCCAGCTTTAGTAAATAAACCCCTTAATGTCTTTATTTAAATAGTTTGTTTGGGCCAAGCTGCCCCAAATAATAAACTGTTTTCTGCATTAAAAGGTGTGCTTGTTGGGACACTGTATTCTCACCATATTCTTGATGTAAACAAGACAAGACCTCTGAATGTTTTGGTATTACCATTGCCATTAAAGCCATAAAAAAAACAGGTGCTGTGACCGGTTAGCTTGGACCAGTCTGAAGAGGCAATTTACCTGCCAGCTAGAGAAACTGCAGCTTTGTGGGGTCCTCGAAGCCTGAGCAGTATGCTTGCTACTTGTTCAGATGGGTCAGCACTTGATCTTACAGCTAACAGCAATGTATACATTTAGCCACGTTAGACATACAGCTGCTGCCAGCCATTAACACTGGGTCAAAAATAGGTTGACTGAAAGCTGTATTAGTAACCCACATACCTATATGTGAAGCCATATCGCCACATAATGCTGGTATTCCCAATGACGTTGTGACGCATTTGTGACCAGGGAATGGTAATATAGTCTGTTTGTGGCTATGGGCTGCTAAAGCAATTGGCCATCTACAAAGAGTTATCCTAAAACTACACAAAACTATGAAGGTTCATAAAATGGGCGCTTTATTTCCTCTATCCAAACACGTTACCTTTTTAGAGCGCATTCAGGTGTGCACAGAAACTCGCTGTCTGTGTTGAGCTGCTTTTTGGCTGTCGGTGCATCCACCTTGTAGCGGCGTGCAGGCAGCCCATAGAAGTGGATGCAGATGCAGCATTTGCATGGACACAGTCGCATGTCAAAATTGGACATGTGTGAACAGATCTGAACACACGGCGTGTTTTGGATTTATGTACCCTTTTTCTGTGAAGTTGTGATGTGTGCGCACCTGCCACATCTCCATCCACTTCTGTGAGCTGCTTGCAAGCAGTAAAAGCAGCTTAGCATAGAGCAGGGGTGGGCAACTGTGGCAGAACTACAAGTCCCATGAGGCATTGCAAAACTGACAGTTACAAGCATGACTCGGAAAGGCAGAGGCATGATGGGACTTGTAGTTCAACAGCTGGAGGGCCACAGTTGCCTACCCCTGGCATAGCGGATGGGTATTGGTGCCCATCTGAATAAGCCTTTAAAAGAATCACCTTTAAAAAAAAAAAAAAAAAAACTTTTTTTCCTTTTTTCTTCTTGGGAGCCTGTAAAGCTAATGCTTTACAGGCTCCCAAGAAGTAAAAAGGAAAAAAAGTGTTGTTTTTTTTTTTTTGCGATCAACAGATCTTGGGTGCAGGGTCAGGTTTTTTGCAGACTGTCAGTACACTATCTGCCCATACCTCTGATACAGGCAGGCAATTACAGAAGTCTAGGAAGCTCAATGGACTACGGACAGGAGTCTCCAAATGATGACCCTCCAGGTGTTGAGGAACTGCAAGTCCCATGAGGTCTTGCAAGACTGTGACAGCCAGACGCAAGACTCCCAGAGGCACGATGGGACTTGTAGTACTTCAACAGCTGGAGAGTCATAGTTTGAAGACCCCTCACTACGAGAACGCTCACCAGCACCCTTGCAGGTCATTGAGAACTACAAGTCGTCTGCTGCAATGGCAGATGCTTCTTGTAGGCATTCATTCACAGAACGCGGTGAATTACTGATGCGGGTGTGTTGGAGGAGCCCCTCGCAAGCCCTGCTGTCAAATTGTAGTAGCAGGTGTGGGAAGAAAGTCCCCATCCCCCCGTCACCAAGAGGGGGGCATGGTGTGATGGTGGATGCTGAACATGTTACACCCAAAAGAAGGTTGTAAAATGTTGAGAAAGGAGAACTTATCCATATTTAAAGGGACAGCAAAAAAAAAAAAAATTCCCCTAACCTAATTGAAGATTGAAACAAGACGGTGTCACAAGGTGCCAGGATCTATCATTTGCTTTTTAAAATGGTGTGCCAACGTACTTTGTGGCCTGAGCTAAGTACCTGATCTATACTGCGGTAACTCAGTCATACCCTCCACTTTCAATTAAAAAAAAAAACAAAAACTATCCCCTTAACCTGATTGAAACAAGACAGTGTCACAAGGTGCCAGGATCTATCGTTAGCTTTTCAAAATGGTGCGCCAACCTTCTTTGTGGTCTGAGCTATGCACCTGGTCTATACTGCGGTAACTCACTCATGCCCCTCCACTTTGAATAAAAAATTAAAAAAACTAGCCCCCTAACCTAATTGAAGATTAAAACAAGATGGTGTCACAATCTTATCATTAGCTTTTCAAAATGGTGCACCAAAGTACTTTGTGGCCTGAGCTATGCACCTGATCTATACTGCAGTAGCTCGGTCATGTACCTCCACTGTCATCGTTCCCCCCAATGCAATGCGGGCGTCTCATATGATTCGGGGCCTTCCTGTGCTCTGATATTGAATATATCTATCCCCCTGGTTTTCAGGAATTATTTTGAGGTCTTGTGCTCCGAATATAGAAAATAAAATTGAAATGACTTTTAATACTTTACAATGTCTTTATAGTTACCGGAATCCCTTCTTCCATAGCATGTGACCTCCGTGCCAAACCTTTCTTTTATTACAAACAGACCTGAGCATTGGACTTGTGCACACCCCGGCTTGTATTGTCACAGTAACCAACCACAAATGATCTCTGATAGAGAAGCGATGTTTGGTTGTTGAGGATCGGTACTTTAGGAAACCAGTCTAAAGATGTTTAAAGCGAACCTGTACGCCATTTTAAATGAACCACCTACAAGTAGATATCGCCGAATGCTGCGGTTTCCTTTT